GGGACAAGCGAGAGACGAAGCTCCCTAGATTGTCATCTAACCATAAAGGTGTTACTCGGCAACGCACAAAAGCAGTAGTGAAAGTTATACACAATAATACACGGATAATGCACAATGTACTGTCACGATTATTGAATTATTCTATACTGTGGTCACATTGACCCGCCTGACATCAATGAATGGTATCAACCTGGGGCACGGAGGGTGGTAGTCACGGATTTCTATAGAGAATGACGTCAGTGGGATGGTTGCAGACGATAAGTAAACATCGGGTTTCCTTGTATTGTCTTCACTATTGTGTACTTCTGTCAGCTACGCGCAGGGTTCAAGTTGAACCCGTAGCACGCATCTTCCAGATAACGTTGTTAATGGAAACTAAGGAAGTAATGCAAAAAGACTGGACGTAGTCGAGATAGTATTTTGAGTGTGTCAGATTTGAAATTAGCAACAGATTCACACATGCGCTGTTAGTTGTATTAACAACGGTGATGTGATCTTGCCACCAATTTCGCGAACCTTGCACTTTTCACATTCTTACATTATTTACAGTGTTTTTGTACACCCCCTCTAAAAAAAATACGCCAAAAAGTGAAGCCACTGTCCGTAGCCAGATAATGGTACCCGGAATACACACCGGCATAGTCACAAACGAACTTCCTTCGGATGTTAGTAGAGCGTAAAACAATATCATAATCATCTTTGTCCCACGGACAGTCTCGGATAATATTTGTTGAACCGCTTTCAAGTTTGCGGCGGACAACCCAGTCTGAGTGTATTTGTGTCACGTGCCAGATTTACATTCGTTAATTAGATGTTATTCTTCAATTATAATCTTTACTATGGACGACATTATAAAAATGTTAAAAGCAAGTCCATTAGACGCACAGAACCAATACGTCAGGTACCCATAATGTTAAACACATTGAAATAGTGGTTTTATTACCCGTATTACCACAGCAGTTGAAAGTCTAGATGAAACCGACTGAACCACGCCGGTAATATATGAAAAGTTGATTTTCTAAATTTGTCTGGTTGGTTTTTCGTAAATATTCGTACAGTATCTTTTATTGTTTTTTATATGTTATTCAGAATACGGCTCGTGCTCAACCCTTGATTCAGATTTCATACATGATATTATTCTACATGCTGAGTAAGTTTAAATGGCCCCCTCATTAGGATGTGTATCACGTTTGTTTACCACGCCCTCTATATTCATAGGTGACGTACGTCGAGAAATTCAGTAAACAGTAGAATCTCTGTTTAGTAATCGGAACCCTCGATAAGGACTAAGCCGTAGTCTCAACGGACCCTGGCTGGACTACATGTTGCTGTGAATACATTAAGGTGTCATGCATGGCAACCAAATAACTCCGTAGTTCTCTTTTCCAAGGTCTGTGATAAAACGTACGTCTCCAACATGATCACTGTGTTTAAATCACAATGACGTCACGTCGGCGGGCTTCCTTATATATGTGCGACGCACCAAAGCACCGACCAAACAGTTATCAACTAAAAAAAGTTGAAGAGATTGTCAATATATTTGATTTTAAAAGTGCTCCCTGAAGTACCAATTCACTATCATTCACCCTACTAACATCGTACGTTGAACAATCAAAACGACATTCCACAACGTTCGTTGGTATCCGACCCGGTCCGACCGAAACTCAAACCTGAATACTGATCAGAGAGTGTGTGTGTCACAAGTATGAAATGGGACATTGGACGATAAAAATGACAACGCATCGAACAGAACAACAATTGAATGTACAAGGTCAAGTAACAGTCTAGTACCTAGCATGGTTACAAAGGTATGACTGTATAATACGAAACACTAATTGTCAAATAAACTGTATGGGACAAGTATTAAAGGAACTGGTAAACAAATCTTTCAAGCAACTTGAACCCCGGTAACGATGGCCCAACAATATTAAGACTGCTAGCCTACTTAGTGCTTCGGGGTTATCGTTCTTTACAGTTCATATTGTTGTTGAAAGCTTCATACTCTTTCATTGTTAGAACCGACTAAGCTGTAATTATGCAACTAGGTCTCCTGGGCATGTTAAACAATGTTACCCCTGAAAGTACGATTGGCCCTCTGTTTTCTCGCCTTAGTTTTATTGAGTCCCCTAGGCGCATGCGCGTTGTGATAAAAGCCCAATAACAGCACGGAACAAATCGCTTACTAGTACGTGTTAATCGTCATGCGACGCGTTCAATTGATAAACAACATCGAACCGAATACAAATGAGACATGTATGGTTTTGTGGGCTTGTTGACATCAAGCCAGGTCATCAATATATCTTCTTTTTTTTAATTTACGTTCAAAAGAAGAGTACAGTTGTGTGTTATACCACTGATTTGGTACAATGTAAATGGTATACAGATTGCATTAAATTACAAGGGATTGTCTTCTAGTTATAAAATCACCCCTCCCATCCTTACATGTTACTCGTACATGAATTATCTTTTTATTTTCACTATTATTATAGGATAATCTGATTAAAATCGGATGTAATGTATGGCGTGTATTTTTTTGTATTTAACATATTTTATATTTGTTATTATGTTGTAATTGATTTTGTTTGTTATTACATATATCTTAATACCGAAACTTTAAAAAATACCAGCAGATAAATAATTAATTGTAATAAAATTAACAATTAAATACACATTAAAAAAACAAGCCCAAATTAGTATCTTATTTTAATCAGACTAGGCCTAAATGTTGTCAGATAGTATCATGCGCGGAGGGGGCAGTCAACGGAAAATGAGGATAACATGAAAATTAATTTACTTTTCGTTGAAAAATGTAGTACCGGCCCAACTAAAGTTAACCTTAATTAAACTTAATATTTTGTCCAGACTATTTTACAACCAAAGGCATGAAAGAAACGTACAACATTGAATGGCTCAACTAATAATGAAAACAGGCAATATTAAAATAACCTATTGGTCTGTAGATGGTGTTCGTACATAAAATATACGAGTGTCGTAAACGTGTTCAATAGATAGAAAATATACTTTCAGTAGAACGGAAAATTCCACGTAAAAGAAATAAATTATTCTAATTTACTTATGTCCTTTCTCGGCAATGAATTGTGCGTGTTGGTGACGGACGGAAGGGGACAGTCAACTGCCATATTGTTATCATAACGTGACTAAAACATACACAAAATAAAAACAGAACAAATTATGCTCTTAAAATTTCCAGAAAATCGGCTAGTTGTATTAAACTGCATCGCAGCGTTGTAAATAGCAGTGAGATTGACTTTAACGTCAGCATTGTTACGTGGTGATATCGGTTTCCTTAGTCACTAAAGCGGGTAAGTGGTCGTGTGTGTCCACTGAATCATGATCAACATCGTCGAATCCAGTAAAGTGACATTTTTCAAGCCACTGCAAAATGCTTTGGTTTTTTGCTGGAGCCAGAAACCCTACAATTTCAGAAGCATTCTCGTCCTCTTTAGGTAAAGTTAGCGATGCACGTCTTCCGTTGAAAGTCTCTTGGACACACTCGCCTCCTTCGTATTTTATGATAAGAGTCAGTTCTCGTTGAATACCTTTTCGCGGCCGGGCGATTGGCATACTCGTCTGCTCCTCTTGAACTTTTGGGAGCGACGACGAGGCAGTAGTCGAGGATTCCCGCCCCTCTTTACTCGTTTTCCGTTCCCGTGTTGGCTGAACAATACTGCCTTCATTGGTCGTTTTAATCGCAGCGCGTTTTGCAGGTTGTAAGACAGTATCCTTTCCCATCGTATTAAGTCCAATTGTTGTATGGCTTCTCGTTAATAGGGGTGACTCCTCCGCAAGTGCCCTGCTGTATCGTGGGTTAATCAAGTTATGTGTTGTACGTTTCCTGATTTTCATCAACGGCTGAGTGCTTTGTGAGCTGCTGCTCGACCAACTGTTGGATGCCTTACTCTTGCTGTAAAGAGATAACGATTCCATACTTTCTGCGCGTCGCAGACGACTATTGCCAGACACAGAAATAGGCGGAAAAGTCGCCAGAACTTTTCGTCTTAACACGTCGTCCGTGTCTTTGTACATGGTTTAGAATATATAGGATGAGAGCGGTAAACCCTGTAAAACATAAAATCACTTCTGTTTAAAAGTCGTCGAAAGTGTATATTAACATAATACGAACTACGGCTTGGAGTACTACTAGTGGGACAAACGTCACGGCGAACTAACTAATTGCCCGGTCGATTCAAAACCCCGTGACTGCGACACAAAGATGAAATTTTCAGTTAAACAATACGCTGATCATTGACATTATTTTGTTTGAAGCAGGGGTTCCAAGTTACCACAATAAATGTTTAAAGCATCGACATATTTCACCATACCTTTGTTGCCGTGCTCCCGGTCTAACGTCTGCCGTAATCACGTGGAGAGAGTTCTGGTGCTGAACCTGTATTTGCCACTCATCGAGCCTTCCCCACAAATATGTCAGACAGAAGTTTATCGGTCTTATACCTTGGAAGTGTCAGTATGCGTGTGGCTACAGAAAAGCTGACAAGGTTGGTTGCTCATTAAAACCCCGTGGCTGACCATTCATTGTCATGGTATTAGTGTTTAAAGAGAGTCGCGGCCCCACAAGAATGACTATGACGTAAATGCACTGATCACACTCACAAGGGATTGCTCCTTGCCAACCAATCAAATACCACGACTCTGTGCATGCGTAGAACGTTCACCCAGGTCGCTCAACTGGGGGCAAGGACTGCCAATTTGCGGGGTTTGTTGATTTGTATCGATTGCATCAGGTGTGAGTCAGGCGAAAATGCGAACATTTTGGGGCTGAAAATGTCACATTTTCGCTGGTGACCGCATTCTACACTTTGTGCGAACGCATTGTAGAAGATATTGGCGAATATTATTGAATGCACACCGCCATGGAGACATCAAAACCAAACGTATTACAATGGGGCTTGTGCATGGTTCTACCAAGTGTCACAGCTGATGACACAATTGCGTGTCTCAGACTGTGAACGCTCGAGTTAAAACAAACGCGATATAAATATGAATTCGAACACATTCATTAGAGCAGAATATTGCAACTGAGTTCACGTAATTGCCTCGTGGTGCGTTCGCCCAATCAATAGCAAAAACGGGAAAAGCACGTAAAACTGTAGTAACGATGATTAAAAGAACACATCCGGTATTATAAAAAAAAAATCGTTGTAAAGTGCCGGTAATCGTTACGGTATTATGTTCACCAGTGTTGATACTGACAATCAGCTTGGAGTAATGAATCCATCTGGGATGTCTGTAACTGTAGACGGCCATTTGCACACACAGTAGGGGGTAAAACGAACGATAGATTGGCTTGGCGGGAGAGGGTATTCTTCCTTACACGTAAGCGAAAGGAGAATATCTCCCAAGCTGACTTAAAAAACAATAAATTAGCTGGAATATAACAAATACGGTGTAATTTGTCAATAATTTGAGTCTTGGATAAACAATCGTCTGCGTGGTAGGGATAAATTATGGCCAGCCTTCTGTCTCTATTTCACTTGGATGGAATATTTTCACGTTTTAGCTGTAACAAATAGGAACGATTTGAACTTTT